GATTACAGGGGTGGAGGGAGGAAATGACTTGTTGGATGAATCCACAACAACAAGCAGTGCAAAGTCAACAAATAATCCATCTTCTATAGAAAATACCGATAATGGTAAGTCACAGAAAATTATATTCATATAACTACAATATTTTCACTACATTCGTTAAAGAATAATTGTACAATATTTACCCTACACTATCACCATTATACAACGAATTTCTGAAAAATAAACATTTATATAGTACAATACATGTATCCATTATATTTCATTTTAAATAGATATTGCATACTTTATCTAAATACAGGATACTTTGGCGTCGGAATCTTATTTCAAGGGGGGGGGGCTTATTGAAAGAGGAAAAGAATTACTGGTAAACTCTGAAAAATAAATATGCCCCCTCCCCTAAAAAAAAATTAGGGAAATTGGGAATAGGGAAACCCCAAATCCTTTTTTTGTGACTAGTTAACAATTAAAGCGTTAATGTCCATTCAATATGTCGTATTAGAAGTTTTTAGTATATTAACACAGAAAGAGAGAGAGTTTTATTTTTGCTTTGAATTTTATCATTTTCCCCCTCAACAAAGTCTTTTCATTTCATAGATGAACAAGCTGCTATGAAGGTAGTTCCAGCAAAACGGAAAAGACGTTGCGACGCTGAATCTGAAGATTCTACAAGCAAACTGGTACACATTGAGCAGGAAAGACTACTTTTAGAAAAGCGGCGTCTTCATGTCGAAGAAGATCCACTGGAAGTCGAACGTAAACGTCTTGAAATTGAAGAAGAACGCTTAAAATTACAAAAAGAAAAACACAACTTGTATTTATGTCAAATGGGTATTATTTCCAGTTTAAATGTCAGCGTACAACCGGAAGCTGAGAAAGCATTAAAGTATTTATGCTCCCGTTATAGAAGATTCGGGAGTATATAGTTCTTGCCTGTATGTCTCTCTGTTTGTTCAAAAAAAAAACTTGAACCTTGTCCATGACTTCGACTGGAGGAGTAGCTTTCATATTTAACAAGTATATTCCTTGTGCTAAGACCTACCTTCCGGTGCCAACTTGACCTCTGGACCGTCGCGTTTAACCCACGTTTGCAAAAAAAAATTAGCCAACTTTTATCCTTGGCCATAACTTTTGAACAGTTGGTGCTAGAGCTTTCATATTGCACATGTGTATTTATCACGGTCTTTCCATAGATGTAAATATTTTTTACCTTGACCTTCGAGTTAGACTCACTTTTAAAAATCTTAAACTTTACCTAAATTTTTTCAAACAGTACTACAGTTGTCGCAGATATATATTTCTTGTGACAATGCCTTTTAGATACCAACAGTGTTAACTTTTTTCACTTGACCTTGGAGTTTGACGTAATTTAGAAAAACTTTGCCGTAAGATGCCATTCTGGGAATCAGAGTTTCACAAGCATATCTTGCTTTTTGTATGAAATACCTTTCTGGCAACTTTAGTGTTTTTTCCCTTATTGATTGTTACACATGTAATAAACTAATGCATTTGGAGGTATTAAATCAATTTAAATGTACTTAATAGTTAAAATACTTTTACTTTTACCAAATGAATGTGTATATACACTGTAACAGAACATAAACAATTGACATAACTTATATTATTTGAATGAACAACACAATGTTTAAATGCATATTGAGTTGGATGGTATTTAAGCAGTTTGAGTTTGAATTAATCTTCTTCTGACTTCAGCACCGTCATTGTTGATTCCTTGGTACACAATATTGTCTGGTTGTTTAAAGCCGATGAGGATTTCTGTTTCGGGGAACAGGAACATTGTTCTTTGTGCAAATGTTATGTAGCACAACACACGCAGTCACAATCCGACATGCTCTCTCAGGTCGGAATAGAAGGGTCCCTCCGGAATGATCGATGCACCTGAATCTCATTTTCAGAACACCAAACGCTCGCTCTGGTTTTTGCATGGGCTTCGTTGTACGCCACTTGCTGAGGGTTAGTTGGATTTAACATGGGTGTCAATAAATATTTCTTTAAGGGGTAGGCACTGTCACCAACTAACCAACCTCTGGCAATATTGCCATTCTCAAACATTTGACACAGAACAGAATTGGACCACACAAATGCGTCATGTGATGAACCAGGCCATTTAGCTACCAAATTCAAAAATTTTAAATTGGAATCACTGCCATGACATTTATGGAGTGAAAGTTCTTTCTATTCACAAACAAGTACTCATCAGTTGAAGGTGCTTTAATAGGAATATGTGTCCTGTCTATTGCTCCTATAACGTTTGGTAAATTACATATATGTGCAGAGCCCAGTATGGTATTGTTTATGTCTCTGTCAGTAAGGGGAAATCTAATGTAAGCAGGGCTTACAGCGACTAAAGCTGTTGAAACTGCGTAAACGATTCTGGACACACTTGCTTTACTAATACCATGAAGATCTGCGCAAACAGTTTGAAAACTCCCAGTTGCATAGAAGCGAAGAGCTACGGTAACCATAACTTGCAATGAAGTTGGTATGGCATGAGATCTGTTGGTTGGGTGTTCTATACGATCACTGAGTTCATTACAGAGATCAAAGATAACCTGTCGTGGTAAACGAAACTTGTCTAAGATGTCACAATCGTCCATATAGTCTAGTGGGTTGTTTCTGTCCCTGAAAACACGCTCACGCCTGATGAGCTGCCTATTTCTCATCAAAACATAGGCCGCCGCCATGTTTAGTATAGACTTAAGACAAATATCTGGATGTCTTAAGATTTTGAACAATCTTATGATTATCATAAGATAAGACACTTTTGTGAAACAGCTATGATAAAAACTTATGACAAATTTTGGTCTAACGATTTCTGTTATAAGATAGCTTTGTATATAGCCAATATGAGGGAAGAATACGATTTGCCGCAAGCTCAGAAAACCTTTTTAATTTTTTATCGCTTTAGAGGGCAATCAAGAAAGACTTCCGTAGTCTTTGAAAATCAAAAAGGCTTCTGTATGCTACAATTCCCCATAACTGCACAAACAAACTGCAGCCAATATAGATTTGTTGGTAAATAAGTGTGCCAAGGATTTCTTGAAATTGGGAGTTGTAGCAATTCTTTGCAGATGAAGTTGTGAAACTACCGAAGACCGATGAAGAAACTTGCGTGCACGTTGATTTATATCTCAATAGAATGACAGAACTATTTATAGGAGCAAACTGGTTCGTAAAACCGGACAAAATAAAAAGCGGCTTCGTCGAGAGTGGAATTATTGATAAATAATCTTTGGACATTAGCGTTCGAAACGAAAACGTGTAATGTGTAAAGTGAAAAGACAGAATAGAAACGAAAATGTGTAAAGTGTAAAGATAGACCCATGCATATTTTGTTTTGTTTTTTAATAATAAACTTATAATAAACGTTTTGCTCATTTAAAATGACATTATCTGTCTTGGGTATCAAGAGAGAGAAAACTCTCTAATCAAAATTTTGTTCTTACAGAAAAAAAAGTCGTAACGCTCCATTCTTAAAAAACACGTTTTTTAAATCGCAAGAAATAAGTTACGCAAAATAAAACTTGTACAAATTTACATTTTTTCGTAATATTTGCAGAAGGGATATACGTATATACAACGGTATCTGGTCACTTAAAGATGCTTACTCCTCCATGATGGCATATGATTCCACCTATAACGTTTTAGGTGCCTATCCCGCTCTGCTCCCGATTTGTAATCTTTCATTGGCTTGGGAGCTTGTGGATGTAATGTGTTATTTTAATTACAAGTGTTATAATTTTAAAACCTGCAGTAAGGACAAAGTATTTGATTATATAAAGTAATTGCAAAGTTTTCCTTGGTTACTATTTCTAATGTAAAATTTGTTCGTTCATCTGTTCCATAGTTATTAATATGTAATACTTTACTTATCACTTAAAACAAAAACAGCAACTGATCACCTGAAGACATATAGCTAGTAATGAATTGAATAGCTGTTAACCAGATGCTACCACATTCTGTTGAAGGGCTACAAATCTAGACCTGTACTATACACCTTGAGGATCCTTTAGCGATGAGGAATCTGTTTACATGTTAGCTCCTAATGCGACATTTTAACTCAATTTACATGGTGTGAACCAAAGAATCGGTCTCCGCGTCAAGGGGATGGAATTCAAAACTGCGAAGTAAGGACTTGGTCTTTAATATGCGACTCAAGAGCAAATTCTAACGACTGCGCCACGAGAGCGACAGAAACGTAGACAAGTAAGAATTTTCCTACAATATCTGGCTTTGTCATTCTTGAGAAGAAGATTTTTAAAGAAAATATTTCTATGTAAAACACTTGGGTATATAAACTTGAAACATACGGAGATAACAAACAGTATTGAAGATCTCAAAAGTCCATAAAACAATACAAAATAGGACCAGAGCAAACACGGACCTCTAAAACATCAAAGGTGGAATCAGGTGTCGTGGAGGAGGGAGTTTCCCCTGCCGACCGGTGATACATGCCATGTGCTCCCTGTCATGATAGGGAAAGAACGGGAAAAAATCCGTTGTCAATTCAGTGTATAAATAATAGGCCAACAATTATAATGAAAAACGTAAGTCAGCATTTGACTCAATGAAATTGTATTTGATGACAAGTAAAATATACCCTTTTGCTTGCTAACAATTCAGTCACTGGGTAACTGATATTATCAAGAGGTTAATATTAATAGAAAAATCATTTTGAGACAAAGAAATGTAAGCAAACCAACTGAAATTTTTTTTGACTTTTTAATATGCTGATTTAGCTTATAGATTTTTATTCATTTAAATCTCATTTTTTAGAGAATATATTGGTTAATGTCTTCAATGCATTCACTTTGCGATTTTTTTTGTGTTAAAACGTATACTTAATATGTTCATCTTAACCTCATTTTGGGAGCCAAATTTGCATACTATCTTACGTCACTTTGTATACTGACAAAAGAATTTAATTTGAATTAATAATTGCTTTCGATAAATTGCCTTCCATTCTTTCAACAACACACATGCACATTTCAATTTTTTTTATATTTATGTTGATAGTTTTGCTTTAATAAATAAGATTAAAAATGAAATGATTCTGAATGCCACAGCTAAAGCTGCTAAACATATCCAATCTGGAATCTGGTTGCCCTGAAAAAGAAATGAACATTTTCCTTGATTCAATATCTGTATGAATAACCTTAAACATGTATACAAATTTACAAGTAAATTCGTAAAATTATTTTTTTTATGAAACATTAGATCATTGAATATTAACAGAATTCTACCTTCAATTTTCTTTTTAAATAAATAAAAAAAGGTTTCAAGAATGATTCAAAACAATGTAGAATCAAGTGAATAAGAAGTTCAACTTCCCAAGTTTGAAATTTAAGCAGGTAAACTGTTACCAATTTACAAATTCGGATAATAGTGAAAATTTCTTGCACTAGTACAGGTTTTAAAGTCTACATGTATAGTAAAACACGCTTATAATAAAATGCCAGGGACAGACTTGTTTTCCTTTATTAGCATAATTCGTTATATAGGTTAAGTTTATAACATATTTTAAAATCACCGGGAATGAAAATCACTTCGTTGTAAACGTAAATTCTGTATAGGTGTGTTTCACTACACAATGTTTGTAAAAAACAAAAGTCCATACCTTACGATATCCTAAACTCTCAATGACTAGATCACCATTTGAAATGCACGTTGCATTTTTAAAGCACCCTGAAAGAATTTAAACAGCAAAGTTTAAAACACAAAATCATACATATTTATTATATCTATTCAAACGAGTACACTTTTTCTAACGTTTAAAATTAGGTACAAGCAACATATTTGTGTGGCGCATTATTTGAATATAAGCAAATAATAAAAGAACAAATATGTTTTCAAAATTTTTTCCTTCTTGTGAACAAGCTAATTCTCCAAGGTGTATAATTCAATTCAGGGGTTTTATTCATAGTTTCGGATTTATTTTTGACCAAACCTCATATATTCTACATTTGAGTATTCTTTTTATATATACAAACCTATATGTTGAACACTGGTCCACTGATTTACAGTCATTAACTCGTTGCTGTACATAAACCACGATGAGTATTTTAACCACAGAAAGTAATCAGGTACAGTCCTAAAACGTCAATTTTAATTAAATAATAATAAAAAAGGCATAAAACAGAAATACGCAATGAATGATTTTAGGATAAAGCATACAAAAAATTGAATGCCTTGATTGGTACATGTATATATTATTTACATATTTTGATTGTAAATTTCATTGATATTTCATTTCTAGATATAAAAAAAAATAATTTACTGTGAAGTTAAAAATTTTACTTTATTTTGATTTATTATTTTCCTATTACATTTTTTTCACTTCAAATCACATTTTTTAAAATCCTGAATAAAAATTAAAATTCTATTTGTTGTAAAGCTTAGTCTCACTTCATATATAACCATAACTATTTTTTTATTTTCATGATTTATAATGAAAGTTTGTACAGCATATAACCTGTTTTTGATATTATTTTGATTTGTTTTCGTTGATACTAACCTACTATTCAAGAAGAATCCTCCATTCATCATAAGCGGCATGATTAACAGCGGAGCTATGGCTAAAGCCGCCGCTATAGAGGGGGCACAGGCAGATATCACATATCCTGCAGGAAAAAAATGTTATATTAACTGCATGTTGTAATTGTTAAAGCGCCGAGTAACAGATTGACAGTGCAAATCTCTTTCCATTCATGCAAATTTGCTAAGATATTACATATCCCGCAGGAAAATTTTTTTATATTAACTGCATGTTGTAATTGTTAAAGCACTGTATAACAGATTGACAGTGCAAATCTATTTCCATTCATGCAAGTTTGCTCATGCCTAATGATCTTAACCTAACCCTGTGGGTCCAAGGGTCAACGTTTTATGACATCATATTCACAAAAGAAGTTTTGCCAATTAAAGTAACTTTCTAAAGCCCCAATTTTTAAATTAAAAACCTGTGGTTAGCCTTGACATCTTTTGAGAGCAAAAACTGGCCCGTGAAGCCATTATAAATGTCTTCCCCATGCATTGAGGAAGTCTTAATCTCAGGCATATCTAGCTCAATTATTTATAGAGATATCCTCATAAAATCTACTGTATTCTTCATTTATTATTTTTATGAGATAAAGTGTCACTTGACTCCCCTGTGTCAGATGGTATATATTTATGTAAAAGTCAACATTCTGACTGTATAATAAACATTAATTTTGGCCCAGTAAGCAATTTTATACCCCGCATATCAAATATTATCAGATATGATGTTTTGTTATTAGAAAAATGTTTTATTTACCAAATCCAGCTGCTGTGTTTGCGACTAGTACGGATATCCCAACAGCCGTGAAAAATTTTATCAGGTTATATACAAAGCCTGAAAATAAGGATATTATGAAGTTTAAGATCCAGGGGCCCATTTTACAAAAGAACTTACGACTGAGACCAACAATTTAAGTTGGTAGTAAAAGTTTGCAAAATGGTTGTGATTAAAATTTTTATCATGAAAGTATCTTTCTACATCCCATTTATAAAGTTTAAAACCATTTTCAATTTAATGAAAATAGGAAAGTTATAAGCAGAATGAATTTTGGTCTTAGACGTAAATTTTTTTTTGTAAAACAGGTCCCAATTCGCTAAGAAGCAACAAAGGATCAGAGTCAGGTTTTTATTTAATACATTAGACATACCACTCATCCAGTAAAGAATGGACATGAATATGGTAGGAGTTATGATCAGGAAGGGAATCTGATGAAAATAGAACATGCATCTCTTAATACATGTACATCACCATCATTTGAAAAAAAAAAATCAGGAGGAACGCGAATATTTCGTTTTTTACCACTTCTATTAAAAAAAATTCGCACTGTTTAGCTTACTTAATGCGCCTTAAAATGCGTGAAAATGTTTTACAATCGTCACTTTAAAAAAACCAACCTCCACTATAATTTTGCTGAGATAATACACATCTACCCTGTATAATTTACAGCCATATTCTCTTACAAAAATAGGAACTTCACATGGAAAAACCTGAAATAATTATCACATAATTTATTATCATATATAAAAATTCTTTTTCATCTTATTGTTGATTGATCAATTTTTAAAAAAAAAAATCAAAATCTTTCGTATGCACAAGTTTAGCTTTATAAAACATGTTTCATTATAAATCTTGAAAATAACTTAAAAGCACGCTGCATATTTTGTTTGATTAACTATAAACACAGTATTTTAAAAAAATCATTTAAAAATCAAATCTTGGCACATACATTTAAGATAGGTAGAATTGTGTCCAAGCTTAAGGATACTATCGCGAAGAATATACATCCATTGATGTTCATGACGTCATCCTGTGTATAATGATTGTCTGTCTTCAAATAAAAGAGTCCTAGTATAACTGCAAACAACTAGAAGTACAAAAAAGAAATGAATCACTTATAACTTAATCCTAAAATACTGTGAGAAAATTATCAGAAACAGTATCCTTCCTCTTTTTAAAATACAAAATTAAAGTTTAATCCCCCTTTAGGGGAACAGCCCTGTCTAATTAAGGAATGTTTTTAAGTTTTGTGTGAGTTATTGGTGTGTGAATCACACAGACTTGTCACGTAGGCATATTTAATGAAGCGCGCTAGCGCTTCATGAACAATATGCGTACGTGCAAGTCTGTGTGATTCTCACACCAATAATTTACAATAAACTTAAAAACATTCCTTATATTTACATTTTACATGTTTGAAAGCAATTCAAATATACTATATAATTGAATATCTCGCTGCCCTATATCGTTGCATTTTACTAACGTCGCTGTAGCCTCATTGTGACGTCACGTTAACGCATGTTTGTCCGTGTATATTTCTACGCGTGAGTATACACGAAAATGGTTTTCAAATCAATTTCACAGTTGACTTACTAGAAAAACACAGCAAATGCAAATATTTATAAATGTTCAGTAGTGACTCGCTATTGAAATTGGATTAATAATATACCATGAATTTTGTACGGTATTGAAAATACAAAGATACGCTTGAAAGATTTAACTAAATGCTTTCATAAAACAGCCATCGTATTTAGAAAAATCCTTGCTTTTCATTTTACCCCGATACTCATTTTCATCTTTTCGTTTCAAGGGGAAAGACATAATAATTTTGTAATTAATTTTACAAAAACGTCGTTCTTTGTCCTCAATTACAGGATGACATTTAAAATTCAAAAAAACCTGGTTGCACCTCTACAGGACACACAAAACGTCTTTAAAAATACATTTCAACTGGATTAATGTGGGAAATTGTATTAAAAGAGAATTCAGAATTCAGAGTAAATATATATTAAATGAAAAATTTTTGGCCCCCTTTTAGCCCAAAATGAAAATCTTTAGAAAAGTTACTGTACATTTTAAGGAAATTCAAAATCACATTTTAAAATGTGGGTTGCTAACTGCAAAGCAAAAGTGCAATGGGGGTTTAGGATAGTGAAGAAAACTGTTGTTTTCCCATCTCCAGCCGTCTTCCATGGTTAAATCGAAATTCAAAAACCTTTAAAAACCCTCCCAATTAAATATGATTAATGTTATGCTACAGGTAATGTATGAGACGTCAGATTTTGGCAGAAAAAATGTTTTCTTGTCCCAATCAAATATTCTGAACATTATTGTACGTCTACTGGAAACTCGATTTGAACATATTTTATTGCAATAAATATATACAATGGGATTAGGCACAAGTTCTAAAAACTTAAATCGCCCTCTTCCTACATGAAATATCACAAAAGACTGAATTAGACGTGTCCCACTCAATACCACATTCCAAACTGTGGATGAGCTACTGCAAAAAATTGTACCAGGTGTTTAGGAAACCATGCTTATCGTATAAAAGAATGGGCTTTTCATAATCCCTAGTCACCTCCAGGGTAAAAAATTATTCCATAACATCTTTTCCACATGTTTAAGGTACTACTAACAAACGACCAAGAAATGAGTTGGTTACTGCAACAGTGTAAGAGGAGTTCAGTAAGCCATCGGTTTTTTCTGGGATTGTGAAATAATGTCACTTTTTGACCTCCTATCACATCCAGGGAGAAACCTGATGATATGGAACATATTTTAGCTTTTGATGGATTTTAAACAATTTAATTTCAATAATCATGGAGATTGACAGAGAAAGATTTTTATCTGTCTACCTTTTTGTAGGGTTTTTGGCTCTCTTTGAATCTAAATGAGGGGTTTATATTATATTCTACTACGATTATTGCCGAGATCAAAGAAATACCGCGGACATTATTCTTCAATAAATCACGAACGTCATCAAAAAATTATCAGATCAGAAACACATATCAAACCTATGCAGATGAAATGTACATTTGACTTAAGAATGAAATCCATACTTATACCACATCAATGTGTCGCCCTTTGCATTTTAAACACTGTCTACTGCAGAAAGTAGCTGATGAATGTAGGTTTCACAGACCTCCCTACGTCATATTTAAACTTCGTGATTTTATGGATAAAATAGGAAACTGAATTTGTTATTGTATATTCCAAAAAATTAATCTATGTAAGCTACAAACAGATTTATAATTAATAAAAGGCTAATTTTAATGCGGCGAAAACACAAATCGTCTGCATTCTATTTACAGGTAAACGAACAAATTTACACTCTGGTGCTAAATGGAACAGTGTTATCGCAGCATGGTAACCAAATTCGTCTCTCTATAGAGAACACTCAGTCATATTTTACAGCTGCTTAGCAGAATCCTTGTTGTCATGAATGACGCAGCATAACCTCCTCAGTTTCGAAATGTTGCTAACACCTCGGCTTTTATCTTTCAAACAACATTTCTCAACCTCGGAGGTTATTCTGCAACATTCACAAAAACACAGACTTTATTTCTTAAATGACCTCCATTTCTTAGATACATGTATGTGTGATCAAAAACTTACTATAGATTCAGCCAACTTGATTTTTACCAAGGTTGGGTTACGAATATTAGTAATCCAACTTCTCCAAAGAAGATGACGTAACTGTTTAAAGAATGGGGCTTGATATCTAAAAAATACAGGTACTAAATAAGTATTAAATATATTTTAATACGAAACAGGATAAATACCAGGTTAAAGGAACAATAATAAAAATAGAATGATAGGAACAAGAACTGTTGATGAAAATATTAATCTTAAAATGTGAAAAAGCTGTCAAAGAGACATTAAACATGACTACTTGTATATTTTTGCATAAATTATCAAAAGTTAAAATTCATGTATTATATATATAAACAATTTATAAATTGCCACTGTTAACATATGATGTGCAGTCTCTTTTATTGAATTAGGAGTGAAAGATTCTCGAAAGGGGTGTTAAACAAATCTTTATTGAATTATCTCTTAAACTTATTCAGTATTTACCTATCTTTAGTATTTTACTTTTTTTATTTAAAATTTTGATCAAACTTTTAAAAATTTTATTTTTTTTCTTACCTTGGTAACGATTCTTTATGCTGTTAAAAATATAAATTATGCTGTTAAAGAGATGAATATCAAGTTTCTTCGCACATAATTCTACATTTGCTCTTACTACAATCTCAAAATAACACATGAAATAAAAAGATATCTATCAATTAATCACACTAAAAAATCCATTAAAACAAGAATGCAAATTGGAATCAATAGCACATAGGGATCTCTCAATAAAAAAACATCGGATATAGGATTAGGAGTCATGGTGGAGTAAGCATCCCATGTAGACAAGTCACACCTTTGTGTGTTCCTTGTCATCATACATGTAAGACAAAAAATCATACAAATTAAAAAGTGAAAATAATGGTCCATAACTTGTTTGGAATATGCAGTCAAAATTTCTATTAATTGACAAGGTCATCGTAAAACATCAACAATATTGAAAACAACCCAAAGAGAAAAAATGATTGTTTTCTTCTAAATTCTCTTTTTCATTGTAAGCTCTATGGTCGATACAATGATGCCAGGGTGTGACTGGTCAGCAGGGGATGCCCACTCCTCCATGGCACCTGATCCCACCTCTGATATTTTGGAGGTCCGCGTTTGCTCTGCTCCTATTTTGTGTTGTTTTATGGATGTTTGATCTTGAATACTATTCATTATCTCCATATGCTTCATCCTCAAAACATAATTCAAATTCTAAACTTTTGTATGGGATTTTTTCATTACATTTTAATTGAATGTAATTTAATTTGTAACAAGAATCAAAAATGATACAAAATTTCAGAAACTGGTGTCCTGACAAAATACTACTCCAAAACTCAAAATCAAAGTCATCAACAAGAGGCTAATGAGCATTGTCGCTCACCTGAGAACCTTGGCTTGGAAAAAAACAGAAATAAACTCAGTATTAAAAAGATTAATCAAAGTGATCCGGGCATCCGGTCCTCTTATGAGGAACTGGTCTACCTCCAGAAATATGACTTGAACACACTTGTATCTACACCAGTTGAGGACGAGGATGGTTTTACATTAATTTTTGATTTCTAATCATAGCTTTGCTGTATATCACTTATATTCCTTGTATACTAAGTACTGTAACGCCCTCGGCTAATCTCAGGAATTATAATTTGAACAAACTTGATTGACTTCCTGAGGATGATTTCATATAAATATGATCAGCCATGAATTTGCTGTTCTTCAGAAAAAGAGCTTTTAATTTTCTTTTTCATATATTCCTATGTTCAAACTATGATTATGTCCCATTCATACCCCTAAAGGTCATCCTTTGAACAAACTTAAATCTTAACTACCTGAGAATGCTTAAAGTTCCATATAAAATTAATATGACTATAGACATGGCTTTACTGTTCTTGACAAGAAAATACTGTGGTAATAAATGATTAATTCTTCTAACAAACTTTTATTTCTTAAACCCTACAATGCCTTGTAGCAAGTCTTGTTGAAATTTCACCAGTGTCTCTTGAGAAAAAGTCTAAAAATTGAAAAGTTTACAAGCAGATGGATGGCCGATAGATAAAATGTGATAAGAAAAATTTGCTTGAGCTTTCAGCTCAGTTGTACTTAAAACTACAAATATTAAACAATAAAATAAATGGAAATTAAAAAACCTAAAACTTGGGGTTAACTGCTTCAATTTAGATTATATTTAAACTACTAAGTCAGATTTACCTTCATATCTTTTAGAAAAACATTTCCAGGTATATTTTTTGATGTCATTAACCCGTTGCATATATTCTAAAAAGTAAAAAAAAAAAAAACATATATAAATTTCATTTTAGCATCTTTAACATCTATATATAATCAATGTATAACTTCCTAAGTATTAATAGCATAAGCTGTGGAATATTGATGTCGACATGGTTCACTTTCAGTATTAAACTACATGTATGCAATTCATTGATTTCACTAAATTCCCTTACACTGGAATCTGATGTATATTGTTTTCTATTTTCAAGTTGCGGTGTCTTCGCTTTTTCAAACTCTCTGCGTAATTTCTAAAGGATATAAATGAAGTATTTTTAAAATAATGATGAAAATAAATATAAATTCTAGTGAGTTTATAACATTCTTTTTACCTTAGAATTGCATAAAATTGATTTAAAAGTATTGCACAGTATACAAGAGATTTTAGGAATTTCTTCCCTGAAATAAATTGGATAACAAAACATAAATTCTGTGTTTACTTGTGTTTTAAGCAAAAAATTTGTTTCCTGTATTTTTCTTTACACGTGTTTTAAAGCAGATAGAAAGATTACCTGTATTTTTATTAACTTGTGTTTTAGAGCAGATAGAAAGCTTACCTGTATTTTAGCATTACAGGTCTGTTCATGTCCTGGAACAATTGCCAAGGTCAGGATAAAATGATCAGCAGGATTGTAGTTCACTGGACAAGGATAGCCATGTCTATAAATAGCAGTATCTATAAATTGTACCATGTACATGTACTATTTATAACTTTACTGCAAAGATATACTTTAAGAAATGAACTGTCCATGCATGTTTATAAAAAAAATCCAGATACATGTATTTCTCTCTTATTTTATATTTCTTTAAATTGTGATAGTTGGGCCAATAAAAATTATTTTGCAATAATATTTTTATTTCAGAGAAACAGGCTTGTCTTGTATGAAATTTATTTTATAGATTCCTCTTTTGAAAAAGTATATATATTTTTTTTCTTACTTTTTGAAAAAGTCCAAACCATGCATTGTGTAACCCGTAAAAACGCAATGTCCCTCAGCCAAGAGGTAAATTCTGTAAAATTGAAAATAAACTATAATGAGGCTGCATTTTTCAACAAGAAAAAATATTAATGTGAAAAATATATGACCATTTACATTATGCATTTAATTCTCCGCTGAAATTCTCAAACTGATAGAAATTTTGTGTACCTACTCGTCAAAAAGTGCGAACACTTCAGAGGAAGGTTGATGGATGGTGCACATAACTGTGTGACCTTTATGCACCAGCATCTTTAAGCTCTGAATGACACTGGAAGCCATGAATGAATCTAAACCGGAAGTTGGTTCGTCACAGAACATTATTGGGGGTTTCATCAGGAGCTTTTTGAAAAAAATCGTCCTTTTAAAAGCAATATTACAAAAAAACATTCCTTTAAATATGATTTTAAAAATGAACAAATATTCTAAAGAGTACCATTAAAAAGATCGCATTTTTTCTCTGTATTCAGATTCTGTTGACGGGAACAATTGTTTCCAAAAATAGAATCATGTACATTCTGAAATCCTCTTGACTTTTATCTTTTATCATTGTTCTACAGATCTAGGTACTAACCTCTGCAGCAAAAGACAACCTCTTCCTTTCCCCTCCTGATATTCTTTGATTAGAAAACGGCATGTCTATAATGGAGTCGGCACATTTGGACAATCCTAGCTAAAATAACGAAAACTTTCATGAAAGTTCAAGATAACCACATCGTTCAAATAAGTTCTGCAAACCTTCAATCAGGTCGAAAGCTTGTATATCTTAGATAAAAATAACCCATACAAAATGTGTAGTTGACCGCCAACTAGTCGTCACCTAGCGGACAACTAGTCCTCAACTGATTATTCGAAAACAGTTGACCACTAGGAGTTGCTTTTTATAAAAGCTGTCAAATGGTCATCTCCAATGTACTTAACATTTTATATTATATTAATCAATTTCCGTGAAAATATAAATAGCAAGCAAATAATGAAGGAAAATTTCTCAATAGCAACATGACCTCAAATATTTAGGAAATAATTCCTTCCTGGCATCATCTGTTTTACTTCAGAATCTGACAGGACAATACATTTAGACAGGAAATTTTAAAATTACCTCGGTTATGACTTCTTCTACTTTTCGTTCTCTAGCTTTAGAATCGGCGTCCATTTGTAAACATGCCTGTAAGAGAAAAACGCAAGATAAGTCTAACTCAGAAAATCATTTTAAAAATTTTGAACAAACGATTTCATCGCTTTACGGGAGTACTTTTATCAATGCGCGATAACTCTGAATTACATGTACAACTTTTTTCCTCGAATCTCTGAATTTTGCATTTCATCGCTTTTCTTTCTTTTTTGTGAATCTATTTAATATTGCTAACAACAGGTTCAGGTAATATAAGATTAAACACAAAGAGCAAATCAAAATTCAAAAAAAATCTTTTTACTGCAAGAATTTTATTTTGAAATAATGAAGGCATTCCTATAAATTTAGTCAGTTGATATCAGTATATATACAGTATTATACGGGCGAGTTGTAAATAAATAGCTTTTTGTCATAGAATACACTGTACTATTTTAATTGGCCAGGTTATATGGGATACCCCTACCCTTCCCTGTTTCTTACGCCCATGCTATATTTAATCACAATCATAATTAAGTTATGGGATATGACCAGTTCCCCGTACCCCTCTCATTCTTTATTCTCAGTTCAGTTTATGTATATGCTCCTATACCCATGATATATTAAATCACGACCAATAACATCCTAATTACATGTGAATGTTATATAGTTTCCGTACCCTAAATATAAGGTGTTCCCGCACGGTCATTGTTCCTAAAAATAGATCCTCCTGTTGTAGATAAGCTGACATGTTGTTCATATCCTCTCTGTTTACGATTCTGTTGTTTATTTTTATTTTGCCCTCGATAGAAAGGGAATGGACATTTCGGAATGTAAGAACATTCATTAGAGTTGTTTTCCCGGCGCCACTGAAATCAACAATTAATTTTCAGTGATTCATTACAGTTATTAAACCGTCGCTACCTCTATATAAACCGACAAACTTCTTTAAATCGAACCAATGATTCTATATTACCTTGCTCCCATGATGGCTACCAGTTTTCCAGGTCTGATTTCACCACTTACTGTCAAAATTTAAAAAAACAATGAATAGAGACATCGGACAATGACTGCTTATTTCATGAATTTAAGAATTGGCTACACTGAAGAGGTTCTACATTAATTTTTTCAAGGGATATACATATTAAAAAAATACATGTTGTATAATTTTTCTCGTAAAAATCCAATTTACGAACTATATTGCGTCAATTAATTAAATATACTGCTACACACCAAATAATCAATGTCATCGGCTGTACTTATCAACATTCAAAATCAAGATAATGGTCATAGCATACCACATCCTCAAAATGTCAAGGTTTTGTAATTTCGGAGCTCAATATGAAAGTACTTTAAGCACAATTTTTCCAAACGTTATTTCTAAGGTTATATGTTTTAAAAAGTAGATTAAACTTTAAAGTCAAGGTGAAAGATTAGAAACTGTTGCATGGTAATTAAGAAAATTAGTTCCGAAACCACAAAACCTTGACATTGTAAGGATGAGCATACTGTTAACCCGTACCTTTGTTCAGAAGGAGTTTGCCCTTTGAATTCCCGTGTTTCCTACAGCATCCATGTCTGGCTAAGGAAGACACGGTGACGTCATGCCACGATAACGTCAGTTGCTGCCACTTTGGTATATCATTAGATTCCGTCTGGGTGATCCATAACTTATGGGAATTTCTCTCTGATTCTAAATGGAAGGAAAAATAGCCAAATTACGTACCTTTATCAGTAGAAATTGCTCGTGACCTTGGAGTTTCAATTGCATTTTAGAAACTTCAACCCTCGCTATAAACTACTATATGTGGGCATCATGTTTCACAATCACTCTTTTATACCCCCCATCCGTCCGTCTGTTACGGTTTGGGATACCCATCTCTTATCCACAACTCCTCCTATACCACTGGATGAAATTTAATGAGACTTTCACAGGTTCTTTGTTAATTTGTGCTATTGTGAACTCCTATTTTACTTTTTGATCTTAAACATATTTCGGGTTTCCGAATGCAAAACATTGACACCGCCATTTTCTCTATTTATTGAAGGGTATACCCATCTTTTATCCGCAACTCCACCTATACCACTAATTAAATTTGTATGATACTTTCACAGATTTTTTATTACATGATGCCATTGTGCACCTTTTATTTTACTTTTTGACATGACACCTATTACGCGTCTCCTGCAGCAAAACGTGGACTTTGTCATGATTAAAATTATACGTCGGGAGGCCGGGTATCATTTAGTGAGCTCACTGCTCATAGTAACTCTTGTTATATTCTGATATATGGACAAAACGAAATTAATTTGTAGTACATGTACATGTCGATGCATAATAGTTTTTTATCTATTGTCTATTAGAACCTACTTCCTCAAGGAAATTATACAAATTATAAAACGGGATGTTTGCTTTTGAAATCTTCCAAAACTCCTTTGCAAAGTGGAAGGGGTCAACAACTTGTTAAATTTAATAAATGTTCATGTTAGTGTTAATTAAATTACCTTACCTGATGTAGGTTCAAAAGTTCTGTTGTTGTAACATTGAACATTCGTCATTATCGCCTCGGTTTGTATACAGGACGAGAAACATCGACATAGGCAGTTGAAATGGTTGTCCCCAGAAAGAAATCTAGTTAAAGTTGCTCACCTCCAAAATCTTCATTGACAGACCTTAAAATATAAAACAGATGCTCTTTGTTTCCGTCAAGTGAAAAAGAAAACAGATTAATATTGTTCCGGTTGACAGGGAAATTCTAACAACAATTAGTTTACATGTATATGTATTGATATGATACATGTTTTAAAAGAAAAGGAAACTAAAAGTGGAAATTAAAATATCTATTATAGTATTAAACAGCGGATTATCACGTTACATTGTAATTATATATTTCTTAAAAAAATCTCAAAAGGAATTAATCTAAGGATTTAAAAACAATAATAATGATTCTATACACCAATTAAAAAAAAAATCCATAACATAAACCTCACCTTATAGTTTTACGTCCCTGTTTGTTGATAATTGAGCAGTTATCGGAATATATTTACCACAGAAAGATCCTAAAGGGAAGGAACTCACTGTTCCGTGACCACGAAACACTGATAGGTGTGTCAACCTTATGTTTATAAATTTTTGTACAAATCTAATGAAATAAATTAGAAGAACCAGCCGGCTAAGTGCCTTCCTAATTAATAAAAATACTTATTCAACCTTTCACATTTTTTGCTTTATATTAAGGTTTTAATGTCATACATTTGAAGAGACCTTAACTATTTTTTCCCTTTCACAGGTCGACAATTAAAGAAGTTTTTTTTTTATGTGCGTAATAATATTAATTTTAACTTTATTATGAATTAAAAAATGAAAAAAAAATGACACGTACAATATAAAAAAAAACACGACACAAGTATACGCCAATAAATAATAATCAGCATTTACTCCTAAACAAATCTATTATAATCTATTAATTCTCCCTTGATCGGTTAAATTTAATTTATTAATTTTTCATTATTAATTCTAGAATTTATTCACCTGAGACCCCCAAGCAGGAACAAAAAAATAAATTTTTAATTGGAAAAGCTAAGGCGTCGTAAATACATATTTATTAACTTTGTTTTTGGTACAATCTGGTGATATATGCATATGCCCCCTGGTTATGTGTGACCTGTATATTATGACTGAAATGGCGAGGTTCACAGGTCATTCATAGGTTAAAGTGTTCATATATACAAGTACACAATAAGGCGATATTTTTACAACGTTCTCCCTCGCTTTATTTGGCACGGAATCGATATATTTTGTAATAAAAAATATTATTTGACCAATATATTATTACTATGTATTTCACAATGAACAAAGACCATAGCTACACGCGTACGTATAATTATTTATCTTAATTAACCTGACTTTAGGTTTCCAACTTATAACTTAACAAATGTAGCGGGATTATTGGTCTGTTAACATGTGCATCGACTTCGCTTTTAAACTGCTGAACCATTCGACGCTGCTCCAACTTCGCTTTTAAACTGCTATAAAAATACAACCATTAAAAGAAGACGCTGCTCCAGCTACAAAACACATCTGCCTGATAGCTGATATGTATAATCTAAATTTATCTTGACATTTCAATTCATTTCATGACTTTTCAAATCAGGCACGGGCGCCTTCCATCCAAACCTGAATGGAAATTACATTAACCTTAGTTGTCATATTCCCCTACTGTCTTGGTAGTATCGACTTTAAGATTAAACGCAAAACGTTCATATCAGTTTATCATATACAACTGATACAATGGATGAAGTTATATCACTCAAAGAAGCACTCCTACATGTTATGGGTTCCGTACAGTACTGCAGATATATAATGTTTTCTCCAGACAAAATCAATATTTCTGTTTGTAAAGAAATACATGTGTTAAAATCGCGATTCAATATTTCGAAAGGGATAGAAATATTCAAACATAAATATACTAACTGCCCAACCTCTTGATAATTATCATCGCAAACGAAAACTAATATACGAGATATAGCTTCATTTTGCATGATTAGAGAGCTTCTGCATAGAAACCAAGCATATTACATATAAAACACGTGTGAACAGTTTACCTATATATAATTAGGTACTTACATTTATCAAAGGGCATCGCCCCAAACAACACAATTAAATCCGCTATGTTGTTTTGGCCACTGATTAATACAAATCTACGTCCTCTTTCACAATCCGTAAGAAATCGTCGGTCACTGCCCCTAATTCTTGAGGCAAATGGAATATTGGGCAGAGCAGATCAAAATCGATGCTAGTGTGAACGAGTCTAATGCATCGCTTCGCACTTGCTGTACATCTATCTACACACGTGGTGAATGACAATTTCGCGCCGCGAGGCTATATGTACTCTAAGCCAATATTTAAGAAAAAGATTGTAATGGAAAAGTGAGATCAACTATAAAATGTTCCTGTACACCATTTGGTCAACAGTCCTTTTAAATTTTTAAATCCATTTCGATTGTAATCTATTTTTAGCTATACTCATGGACAAAATCCGTAAACAACGTAGTGTTCATGTACACACTGTTTACAAGTGTATTCAGAGGTCGTTGAATACATAAAATTTGGAGAAAATGTAGATTTTTCGATACTTCTTGTTAAGGCGTTTTAGCTTCAAACTAATTTGTTATTGCATGGTTTATAAATTGAAATTAACATTTACTTTTGTATATTTCGCAAAATTTACATTTTTTCCCATATCTGTTCTATTAGATTTCAATATATATGTACATGTTAATATTTTTTTTTTAAAAGGAGTTGTAATAAAATAGGTTGCTAAGGTGAATTTTGTGATAAATGTGTCATTAAACATTGAATGAATCTTGTATTAACTAACGATTTTACATTTTTAATTTTTTTAGTATCTTATTCCTTAATTTAGGTTTTCGTGTTAATTTATGCGACTTTGAGTTTTTTTTGTTTTTTTTTTTTTCAGAGATATTTCTAGTCGTTGATCAAAAAAGAGATCAAACACCCGCAAGAGACAAATAGGTACACTTGGAATTTGATATTGATGACATTATTTGTTTGTTGAGTCATGGTAAAACTCCTAGTATATTAATCTCTGGTTCAACTACTTCCCATTAGAGAAAATCTTATGATGGTTCATTGGTAAGCGTTGGAAAAACAATTAAATTCATTTCTTATATTTACATTATTTTTCTGATAATTTCAAATTTGATATATGTTATTTTTAAAACAAAACAGTGTGCACTATATTTTTTTAGTTTGTAATGGTAGAAACACAAAGAATACTTCTCATGATATCCATGTTTCTTGCATTTTATTTTGTAAAGAATCTGGGAAATGTATTGGAAATGTAAATATTTCCCATTAGAGAAAATCTTATGATGGTTCATTGGTAAGGAAAAAGTTTCTTTTTCATCTTTGATATATGTATTCAAAAGAGTTTGTAATGAGAAACACAAAGAATACTCTCATGATATCCATTTCTTCATTGTGTTTTTGAAGGTAAGATGTCCACACAACAGTTTGAGCAGTAATCAAGTTCAAATATCCAATGGATGGTTACAAATTTGGAGCAATCAGCAAACACAAACTTTAAACAGTCAGCAAACACGTCCGGACCTTTAAAAACATCAGAGTTTGGATCAAGTAACATGAGGGAATAAGATTCCCATATCGATCGGTCATGTATATAGCAGTGTGCTCCTTGTCTTGATGGGTAAGCGCAAATATCCTTAGAAAATTCAGTATGAAATAATGACTTAAAACTTGATATACACAAGGCAGAGACCGTGAGTCATTTTAAATAAGAATTAAAGGATGAATGTAAGAAAAGTGCACCTGTCCATTTAGTTGTCATATCTATTTTTGAAAGGTGAGACTCAGTGACTAGATGAACTTGCTGAGAATCGTTCTTGAAAGATTAACTTTTCAGTAGAGTATGAATTTTTTTCTGTTTCAGTCCCCTCTTAGTTCTACATCTATGAACAATTCCACAATTTGTTACTGAAAAACCGGATTTCATGCAAGTTGGAAATGTTTGCATTTATGCAAAAATACCTACTCGAGTGTTTTTTTTTTTCTTTTGAATTTTCATATATTCCTATGTAGAACTCTTCTTTATTGTGGTTCAAACTCAGGAAAATGACTTCAATTCAATTGAATCTTCACTACCAAAGGATGCTGGCAAATCTTTGGACGAACCAAAGCGTTGTGTTCTTGAGAAGAATTGTCATGATTTACCTTAGATATGCATAACCTTTTGACCCCCCCCCCCCGCCACCATGGACCATAATTTTAACACACTAAAATCAATCAAGGAATTCTAAGTTTTTATCGCTCAGTGTATCTCCCCTTAAACACTGTTAATTAAATAATGGAAGTGTCACTGAATTAAAACAAACTTCACTCGGAGATGGCAATGCTTTGAGTTTACGTGCACCAGAGATTTGGCAGAATATAAAGAATTGATCGAAAATTTAACGATGACAATGTCAAAGACAGATAACGTACAAATTATCTCGCTTGAGCCTGAAGTACAGGTGAGCTAAAAAGTTATGTGCATATATATACGTAGATATATTTATTTACTTTTTAATCGTGTAGCAACTAGAGTTTTACAGAAGTATGCTTATAATTGTGGCATATGACGGCCATTTTGAAAAATGGCTGCCAAAATTGTTTATGGTCATTGTTCAATGAAGTGGCCCAATATCCAAAAATATTTGTAAAATATTACTTATCCGATACACCTAATCTCACACTTTTATCACAAAAGGCACAATTTATCATTTGAAAATATTCAGTTATACCACTTGACTTAATTGAAACCTATTTTGACAACGTATTCAGGCACAAAATATATTTAGTTATTGTGTAGAGCTTCCTTAAATGTCAACTTATTTTCATTAATAGAAACTTGAGTGAATGAATTTGAATACAGATTATGAGGACATGAAGTTGTAAGGAATTTCAAATACTTTTCCTTTTGTTATTTCAAGGACAGCTTTATCAGCGACCTTGAACATTAAGGTAAAAATCAGAATTTTTTTTACAAATCGTCCATTTTATTGTGTTGTATTATTTCAGTACCACTGAGATAGAGTACGTATATATTCATTATAAACATATTATTCCGAAGGATAGGCGTATTTGACATGCCAATGACATTTTTGATATATGCATTAAAAATATTTATAGAACCCGAGATACGAGGCCCTTGTATTTAAGATTTGAAATTTTTTTTTTTCTCTCTCTCTTTTTTCCCCTTTTTTGTTTTGGGGGTAGTATCGAAACCAAAGTGAAGGAGGTGATAGTTCTTACAAAGAGCTAAATGTTGATTCAAGACTTGATTTTTCCATGCTCAAAGGGAATTAAAATGTTTTTCTTTTATATTGTTTGAATCACAGCTAACAATTTGCTTATCCATTCAACTTTTAATATCTGTCGTCCTCACCTACTATAAATCATGACATAGTCATACTGGCATACTGAAAAAAGTTAAGTTCAATTTTAATTATTTGCAAGGAAATTGATAATTATGAATTAAATGATGTCCCAACCTTACCCCATCACCCAAATACTTTAGGTTCATTGGAACATGTTCGACCTTTTCATATCAAGGATTGTTATTTACATATAAAACAGAATCCCTGTAGTATAAAATGGGAAAGAAAATTTTTTTAAAAATCGAAATAAGCAAATGAATAACCCTCAGACCACAAAGCTCAGCTTGAGTAACTATGGCCATTTGTATTCTTTCATCATTATAATTACATTATCTTTCTTCCCTTTTCATTCCCATGAAGAAGAAAAAAACACATTTATATGGCTTTGAAACCGTCTTATAGTAAACAATAAATTCTATTAAATTCTTGGTTAGATATCATGTACATGTACATGTATGCATTCTAAAGTACCGAAAATCGTTACACGTATTTATTTTGATGCATAATTCTGGCTTGTACATCTATTTCTACGAGTATAAAAGTCGTTGTCGGAATTATTGTTAGAATGAAGAAAAGACTTCTGTATTATTGTATATTCCAGATATCTAGTAGGGAACCTCAGGTTAAACTATGATGAATCTGTTTTCCAGATTTAGGAGTACATGACAACAAAGCGTATATTGATAGTGATAATTCATTTGACAAAGAACTATAGGGGACCTCAATGGTTACGTGTCTCTAGATCTTTTTCTTGTATCATCGAAGAATGGTTTTACAACAAGGCGTATAAATTTGGTTTCGTCGAGGGTAAAAATGGTTGAGAGCAATGGCAAAGACAACCATTACACCTCGCTGTATATTGTCTGAAGCTGACATAAAAAAAATGCTTGAGTTTCTGATTGACAATATCTATATAGGTTTTGGGGACCAGGTTTTCCAACAATCTATTGGAATTCTCATGGGTACCAATTGCGTCTCGTTATTAGCGGACCAATTTTTGTTTTCACATGAAGCAGATTTTGTCCAAAATCTTGTACGTGAAAAGAAGAAAACACTTGCCGTGGCTTTCAACTCGACATTCAGATATATTGACGATGCATTGTCTATTAACTCTAATGATTATTTCCATTCTTATGTCGATACGATATACAGGTGAGCTTGAAATAAAAGATACCATAGAGTCTGACACATCTGTTTCATTTTTGAACATTTTACTTCAAAAAGACGTTAATGGTAATCTAACAACCAAGCTCTATGATAAGTAAACGTGATGACTTTAACTTTTCAATCGTCACCTGCATACATAGTTTATATCTCTCAATTGACTCGATACGAAAGAGCATGCTCTATGTATGTACAATTTCTAAAACGAGGTATATTATTGACAAATAATTTTATGAAAAAAGAATAACAACAGTCTCGTTGAAGGTCATCACATCCTAAGTTCTATGGTCGATGCAATGACCTTGTCGGCAAAAACGATCTATGATATTGAGACATTTTCAGTTTTTGCCCCTTCCTTCCTACACTTTTATTCTACAAGGCTAAATATTCGAACTTAGTGGCTATTCAAATCTATTTGTTAAGTCTTAGCAAGAATATGCGAAGCGATGAACTGGTAGTTCGGTGCAAATAAGTTATTAAGCATCCTTTTGATCTTGTTAACGTCATTTCGAGAAATTTTTAACAGCATTGCGACATCACCACTTGCCGATGGCGGGCTGAAATTAAAACATTCAATCGACACTTAAAAGCCCTGCGAAATTACAGATCTCTTTTCCCACCAACTTTTTTTCTGCGACATTGGACTTCGGTTTATACGATCTCATCAGTGGACCCCAATTATAAGATGATAGTAAATACAGACAGTATGTTCTTAGATCAAGAAATTCATGTAGGACTTTGATATCTTCGCTACTTTTAGGTTTTGAAGAATTGAGCTGTATAAATGTAAAAGATGTCGAGGGTGAAAAGTTAATTTACATTCGTTTTTATAGAAATACAAGAATAGTCCTTACAGACGTTTAAATGGGGTTTTAATACCATTGGGTGTCACCTGTATGTCCATATTACACATGACATTATAGACAGGGAGATGGAATTGATTAGTCCTCTGAACAATTCATTTTTAGAAATGTGTCATTAAAACAATATTTGTCAAAAATTAATTTTATGAGAATCCTATAGCAGCAAAATATCTTATAATTTGTCGTAGAAGTTTTTATAAGCCTCCTAAAGCACATTTACTTCCATGGGATCAGTCCATTTTTGATAATGTATTAAACGTGTTATAATCATTTCATCATATGTTTACTTCTTGATGCAGTGATACCATTACGATACCAACAGTTGTGACGTCACAGACGTTTGGAATAAAATGTACTATCGCATCAAGCAGCAAACTTTGTAAAGGTTCTGCAACATATTGTGTATTTCCTATCTTCAAGACTGTAATGTAGAGAACATAAAAGTCATATCCAATAGAAAATCCATGGGAAAGCCTTTCTGTGATAATCGAGAAGACTGAAAAGATATGTATTTAGAGAAAGAAAGTAAAAAATAAGAAAAAGAATTTTATATAAAAAACAAATAAAACGAAATAATTCATATTAAGGAAGAGACCATCACAAAATATATGTTGATGTTTCTAACATACTTGTACTTACATATAACTTTGTACTTCTATATGAATATTAAAGAAATTTTCCCGACTTTGATAAAAGAGAAGAGATTTAAAGAAATCTGGACGCATCACAGTAAAATATTCCAACAATTTTTTGAACAAACACAACAAGGCTAGGTTTAATCATTTATTTTCCGTGTGTAAAGTATACATTTGTCGTAATAACGAAATGTAAGTAAAACAAAATAAATAACAAAAACTGTTTTCAGTCTTCAAAAAAAGCAAAAACATAGATGTAATACATATAAATTACTGTACATATATATCGGTACCTGTACGTTAACCACACATTACTGACAGCTTTTTAAAATATAGAGTGAGGTATTTCTTTTTTCTTGAAACGTATCCCTTAAATTAAATGAGAGGTTGAGATTCTTCTCATATTTCTAATATTTAAAAATTAAAAACGTGACAATATCAGTAAGTGATAGTATCAGTGAAATTAAATTTATATTATATTAACAACGTCAAGGTCATTATCTTTTTCCTTGACATTAAGAATAAAAAAATAACTGTTGCCAATCATGTGATACCTACTTCTATTTCAAAAGTTAAATGACTGTTCTTTTTGCATGAAAATATATTGCTATATCGGGTCTATAACATGATATTACCAAATTTACATAAATAATTTAACTGAACTGGATATCGGCTAATCCGAATTTTCTCTGTTTTTCTTAATTTTTTTAGGATATATTAGTTAGTTTCATATGCTTCCTGTATTTAACTTTTTCTTATTTTCACAGCTTATAAATATTGTACAAAAACAAAAAAATGTAAGAGAGACTTTTTATGATTTTTGGTGCACTTTGACAAAGTTTAAAGGCTAATAAAGTTCTAGTTTGGAAAAATCATATTTATTTGATATACAACGTTTACTTATTAATTTAACTTATATTTGAAAATTTCTCCAAGTCTTTGATTGTGTAAAAATTATAACTAAATTCATTGTTTTATTATAATTTTGCAGAAAAGAAGATATTTTTTCATTGCATATGTGTTTTCAAACACAGTTTAAATAAAATGTTATATGGTCTTTTAAATTCCTTCAATATACAGCAATGTTTTTTTTCCTTAATTTTATCAATGAAACCTTAAAATTGCCAAATTAGCAAATTAAATACGACCATGCTCAAAGGTGACAAACCACATTAAAAAAATTCCAATGTCAATAGTAATATCCCATATACAGTATATATTTAGTCTTGTTATATATTTCAGAACGTCATGTATCAAAGTATACATTAAAAAAACCATTCAATTCTGTACACATTGAAAATAGGATTGTGAATGTATAATTGTTAAACTGTACCGAGTAACAGAAACTGGTAAATTCATTAATCATTCATCTGAACTCTACAATCACTCATTTACGATTCAACGTCTGGCGGATTTCTATAAGACAGTATAACACGTTACATTGTAACATACAAAAAAAAAAAAGAAATGTAAATAAATAATTTTTTTTTTTAAAAAGTAGAAGACAACGTATAAAGCACTGAATGAAAAAGGTCTTAGGATGAAGACCTTCTCGCCCTAATGAATAGGACAATGAACGAAATCAGTCGGAATCCTATAAATAGAGCAAAGAGCAGTCCAAGATCTAGGTAGAAATTGTCCTGTGGAAGAAAATAAACTTGTTTTAGTAAAAAAAAAATCAATGACCTAACGTAATTCAATGAAAATGAGATGAAATCAAACATTTTCTTGAGGTCAACTTTCGAGGTAAATTGGTTCGTGATGATTTGATTTCGTGAGTTATATACTTAAAATTTTATATGAAAATGAACTCTTTGCTATTCATAGCATAGAATCTAAAAAATAATTACCCTCCAAAATTAAAGAGATTTTTGAGAGGAAAGATGATGAGTTCATTTCACTGATTATAACATATATATAATAATAAATGAAAACCATATGTAATAAAATCTTTTACCTTATCAAAACTAAGGCTGCTGATAACTAGATCACCCCGTGGAATACATGTCGTATTTGACGTACAGGCTAGAATTACAAAATGCATCTTATAATGAGCAAATGCTCTTAATAATTTCAGTTCTAAGTTTAATAAACTGTCGTCACATGTCTCTTGTTGAAAGTCATGAACAATTTGCATATTATTACTAAAATAGTATGTCAAGTTAAGTCCATTAAAACAATACAAATTAAAAACAGAGCAAAAATGACCTCGAATACAAAGTGGAGGGAAAAGGGTGCCATGGGGGAGTAAGCATTCCTTGTTGACCGATCGCACCTGTTTACATGTATGTTCCTTTTCATCGTCTGGCAAACGGGAAAATTAAGTTTAACTTGAAAATGATAGTTTAGACTTTACTCGAATTAGGGAAGTTGACGACAGAGAAGTCGAAGCCATCGCGTTCATCTTTACGTTTTGAAGTAATGTTACTATTAACATCTTCTCTAGCAAAATATGCAAATATGAAGCAGATCTTTCAAACGTTTTGGTATCTTTTATTTTTGGGGGGTTTATAAGGATATACAGAATCATCTTAAGAATGAAAATAAATATTTTTCAAGACTTTTAAAATTGTCCATATCAATAACAAATTTCTGTAAATAAAGAGAGAAACAAACAATTTTACAATCTTCTCACCCTACTGAGCCAAAGTAAAAAAAATGGAAAAATTTTAATTGAATTTGTTATCATATATCCTTCATTGATAAAGTTAATAATTACTGATATTGAAAAACATCGATGTCCATGTCACAGGTTTGATGAAAGAGCAACTCAAAGCCACAGAGGTGAAGTCTAAAGGCTCCAAATTTAGTCCGGTATCTATGCTGAATATATGGCCAATTTTTACTGTTGAATTGCCAACTTACCTATGTTGTTCACACCATCCCATTGATTTACAACCAACATTTCGTTTCCATATGAGAACCAGGATAGATATTTGAACCATATAAGCCAGTCAGGGATTGACCTTACAAAAAACCATGTTAAAATCACTTAAATTTTTATTTTACATGCAATATCATGCGAGAAAAAGACCTGTGACGAAATGCTTAAATATATTACACAATATACTGTAAAACCATTCGAATCCTTTAGGTATACTTTATTGAGGGGTACTAAATATATATATTGCTTACCCACTGTTAAGGAAGAATCCTCCAAATAACAGAAACGGTATCATGAGAGCTGGGGCTATTGCCAGAGCAGCAGTGACTGTTGGGGCGGCCGCTGATACCACGTACCCTTTTTTTGAAATAAACATTGTCTTACACACATATACGAGGGTTGTCCCAGAAAAACACGAACATTTTCAATATCTTTTGTTTCACTAGGACTATAAAGTATATATATTGTTTACCATGATCAAATTTAAGGAAAAACCCTAAAAATTTAAGAGAAATATATCTATGAGAGCTTTTTCTATTGCCAAAGCAGCAGTGACTGTTGGTGCGGCCGCTGATACCACGTAACCTTTTTTGAAATAAACACTATCTCACACTCATACTAGTATCATATTTTTCTTTTGATAAAGATGTTACTTTTTAAAACGATGTTAATACACAATTAAAAAATTGCTTACCAAATGAAGCAGCTGTGTTTGATACCACAATAGCTACACCCGTGGCCACCAAAAATGCATACCCATCATGAATTAAACCTGTGAAATTGCCAAAATTGAGTCAAAATGTTGCGTATAAAAATTAAAGTTTGCCTTACGTGTTGGTTAATGTTATCTCCATGAACAAATGAAATGTATGGGAAAATCTTCAAACAAAAAAAAAATATATCCTTCTTTCCAGATAACAGTAGAAAGTTAATGAATAATTTCTGTAGCATTTTTTTTTTCAGTGAACTCTTTTCCTGATTTTATATTCATTCATTAATTTTTTATCTTTGTACTACAAACTTTTATATATTGTTTATTCTTTTTAACGTACCACTCATCCAGTAGAGTATGGACATAAATATAATAGGTATGATGATCAAGAAGGGTATCTGTAAAAACAATGTTTACACATAAGACATTAAAATAATACTGGGAATAAATAAATTGTTCATTTCTTAATTATATTCTATTAGAATAAAATCAAATGATCTTCAATTATTTTACCTCCACTAATGTTTTGCTCAGGTAATACACTCCAACGCCATACAGTCCTGTCCCATACTCCCTTAAAAATATCGGCACTTCTATTGGGAAAACCTTATAATAAAGAAAGTGAAATTCTCCATTAGAAAGGTAGATGATAAGACTTTCTCATAATAAATTTTAGAAATGTTCCTCACATTTGTATACTTAGATTTCTTCATAAAATATATGGAGACAACAAACAGTATTCAAGATCAAAAGTCCATAAAACAATACACAATATGAGCAGAAAAAACATGGACCTCTAAAATATCAGAGATGGGATCAGTTGCCAAGGAGGAGAGAGCATCCCCTATCGACCGTTCACACCCGCCGTGTACTCCTTGTCATCATTTATGAACTGAAGATTTCCAAGAAAGAGTTCTATATCTCTTATTGCAAAAAAGATTAAAAGTTAATGATATCTTACATTCAAAACAGAGAAGATGTTGTTAAAGCTGAGGTTTGTGATGATAACAAAGATGACTCCGTTGATGTTCATGATGTCGTCCTGAGCATAATCATCGTCTGTCTTCAGGTAAATGATTCCTAATATCACAGCAAAAAACTGAAAACAGCAAAAATAAAAAATAAAGATATTCTTCTCTAAAAAAAAAAAGCCTATCGGTTTACACATATGCTAACCAAACAATCAGATTTTCTTGCACACGCTGCAATGAAACTCATCTATGACTATGAATGGGATTTACTTTAGAATAAATATAGAGGATTTTTGAATAAAAAGGATGTAGGTTTATATGAATTTTTTCAACTGGTAGAATGAATTTGAGACATGTTTGAAACCAGACATAGTTTAATGGCCCTGGGATCTTATAAAAAAGAATGAAAATAAAGTGGATTATCAAGAACCCTTCTGAACATTTTAGAAAAAATTTAAATGAACTTTGAACAGGACTGCATAAATATCCAAAACTTAAAATGATTACGATGGGGACTGGGGAACACTTCTGGCTATTCAATGAATCTTACACGAGTTTGGATGAACATGATCCGGACTATAAACAAATTATGAATAAGTCTTTTAATGGTTTGGATGAACTTGATGCGGACTATCAGTGGATCTTGTAAAATAATTAATAAGTCTTATGATGGTTTTTAAATTAAAATTTAATGAATTTAAATTTGAAACGGACTATTATGTGGATTATCAATGAGTCTTACAATAGTTTGGATGAACTTGATCCGGACTATCAGTGGATCTCGTATACTCGTTATCCAACTTCTCCAGAACACTGACTTCAACTGCTGGATAAAGGAGGCTCCATACCTGTCGAAATCAAATGGGTTTTTTTTTTAAATGTATTTTGTTTTTTGGAATTTCAAAAATAATTCAAGTTTAGATATACGTTTTTTCAATACAAAGACAAAAGTATGCACATACATTGTTTAGGCACCAAAACATGTCCGTTAACAACGGATAATACTAGTATAGATTTTTTTTCATTTAAGTCTGCTCTTAGAGTAGAAAATCATTGTTACAAAGCTGACAGAAATCGTACAAAAAGGAAGTTAGTTGATTTTTAAAATATTATAAAAAAAATTAAATGAGCATTTGTTACAAGTATCTCATTTATTTATTGGATGAAATAAGACTGAATGCATATATTTACAGGTAAAATTTATTATTATAAAGTTAATAGAAAGCAGATAATAAACTTTTCCTTAGGAACGAAGAGATTGCCTCTACAAAGCGGATACTGCATATGCAAAAAAGACTTTGTGCAATGTGTTTCACTGTGCATTCCAAATTTTATTTCATTTCCCGTTTATTATTTTCAATTGTTAACTCTTTTATTTAAATCAAAAATCCTAATTAACTCAGTAAAATGTACAAATAAGATGATTTATAACTGCTAATATATTAAAAGCAAAATCAAATACTGTGGTTTCATCAATTTAGGTTACCATCAATTTTCGTGGATTTTGTAAAACAGACCTATTCGAGGATACATAATTTCGTGGACAATAGCATTATCTATTCAAACGAATGACGCATTTCTCAATTCAATGAACATAAAATTTCGTGGATCTGCTCAACAACGAATTCCTCGAAATTGGTGCTCAACGAATATTGATGGAACCACAGTAATCTATCTTTATATAAAAGTGTTGTAAAGTATCTTATATACTGTGCCAATGGTATCCAATTAACACAGATTTTGTTATCATTTTCTCAGTTTCTTTTTTTACAACTTTAAATGTAAACATTATCACTAACAGAGCTCGTGTCCTATTTACAAAACCAGTAATAATAATTGCAAGATTTAAAAAAAAATGGTTTGTAATTTGTTATTATTATATCCCTGTGTGAAATGCTATAGTAACATATAAGACATGATATCATGCACAAACTTTGAGAAAATATAACCCTCAAATCTGTGTGTATGTCCCTTTAAACAGCTAATATGAGCCGATGGTAAACTTCTTACATCTGTTAATTTTGTTCATTGCAAAATAATGAAGAGTCATCTCTAAGTTTCTTATTCCACATTCACAATAAATCAATTCAGAATTATGCAACTTATCCCAAAGGATTTTGTTACAGTTTTTGATTTCATGAAAATACTGAGAATTAGATAAGTAACTGATCTTGTTATACAGATTGCAATCCAGATACTCAAAAGATAAATATTGCTGATAAATACCTGCAATGCGGATACTAATTAAATTTACGAAATAAATTTGATAAAAGATCACTTATAATGCACTTATTATCACAAAAATATTGTTGATTGGAAGATATATATTAAATGATTGCTGCTGACAGAAAACTGACAATGAAAATACGTGATATAAAATATAATTACTGAAAGAATACTTGCAGTATAAGTTCTTATTCTATAAATCTTGTCGACTAAACATTGACAATGGTGTTACTCTCAACATAAACATTGCATATAAAACAACAAAAATGCATTAAAATGCACATATTTTTATTAACTTTTGTTAATAAAAGACAGGCAAAGCAGATACTTTTAAATAGAACATAAGCGCAGAAAAGTGTACTAATTAAGATACAAATTATTGAGTGAACACTGACACTATATATAAGTGTAAGATAAATATTGTTCATAGAACATTGGAGATGCAAATACTTATAAGATCGTAAGACATTTAATTGCATGGAATACATACCTTGTTGAATCACTCAGGGTATTTAAGATCTGATGGATAAAAGATTGGTTACTAAAAATAATTTAATTAGAGAATTTCCATTAATGGCTAGTAAAGATGTTTTACAGAATGTTTAATAAAGGGTTACATAATAATTATATACATGAATTTTTATAAAAGAATTTTTGTTAAGAATTCTACAAAATGGAAAAAAGATAATAGCAGTTGAGTGATGAACAATTATAAGTGATTAGTTGCATTTGCTTGATATTAAACTTCAACAGTTGGAAAATCTAATAAAAGTAATAAATATATAGACTTAATACAAGTGTTAACGCTTCTCTAAGTTAAGAATTCCATAAAGTGGTAAAATAATAAATGTATGGTAACTGATATTTTTACAAAAACTGTCTTTTAATGTTTTATCTACATTCACATGTATGTATGAAGCCCTGCAGATTTATACTAACCCTACAGGGTCTATATAATCACTAAAAGCAGAGCATTTGATTATCATGACGTCAGACATTTCAAATTCTAAGCAAAACTTGTATTTTTTTTTATTAATCTGTAATAAATGTGTGTAGTATATTTCTGTCAGAGTTTGTTAAGTGTTGTTAATGAAGTAACAGCTATTCACTACATCTTAAGGGAGAGAGACACTGAGTGGGTAGTACAATCTTCCCATTACTTACAAATTTCTGGGAGACTTGTGTGTGATCACACATTCCATTCATCTCTTCTTTCATTGTTTTAGATGCTTCTGTGGCCTCGAATTTGTCACAAATTTTCTACAAATAATCAGAGACTTAACACTGGGGTTTGGCAAAACATATCCCGATCTAGATGGATTTCAACACATGCATACTGTGGGGAGAAATGTTCTACCTGAACTCGTGCCTTGCAGTCTGTTTCCTTTCCTGGTATGATGGCCATGGTTAGAATATAATGATCAGCTGGGTTGTAGTTTACAGGGCAAGGATGACCATTGCTGCAAATAGAATGCCAGTTGTATATATATGCAAATGTGCATTGTCTCTTTCATTTTGCAAGCAATCCATGTTTAAACATGTATGAAAGTGTATGAGATATCAATGCAACATTTTTTTTCTTGATGCAGTCATAAAAAATCATGCTTTGTAATAGTTTATTAAAATTTGCCTTTTTCACTTGCATGTCAGTCTTATAAAAATCTTTGAAAAATGTGCAATTTATAATGCATGGCTTGCATGTTGTCTGACTTTACGAATTTTTGTACATTTGTCTCACATATAAAATTCAAACAGGTTTCCATATGAATTAAATAAAGTATATTATAAATAAAATCATGTTTAAGGCATGAAAAGAAACACCATCAAAATAACAATTTAAATACGATAAAAACTATGTTTATAAATGAATTAAAGACTTCAAGGCATTCAAAATCGTACCTTTTAAAAAACTCGAGTGCATTAGGCATTGATCCTGTGAATGCAACTCTCCCCTCGGCTAAAAGAAACAGTCTGAAAATAAAAATTGCAAAGTAAAAATCTTAATTTATTTCATACAGCTCATAAAGCTACAAATTTTTTCTGAACTAATGGCAGTAAGTAAATGTAATAACGGTATTTAGTAAATTTATACCTGTTCAACAATGCATATTATTCATGCATGTAAGAGAGAGAATAACTAATAATGAAGTAGCATTATTTTTTATTCCTTTTCCTCAGAAATTGAGAATCCTAATTGTTTCAAAAAGCATCTTCAAAGAACACTAGATCTCAATGAAAATTTCATTATATTTTAAGAATGTGATAGATATTTTCAGTGGAATTTTTCACAGAGATTCATTTGATTAATTTCTGTTTTATTCATTAGATCTTAAAGTTAAATATTTTGAAAATGGAAATGGTCTTACTCATCAAATAACTCAAAGACTTCTGACGGTGGTTGGTGAATGGTGCACAAAATGGTTCTGCCACTTTTTGTCATACTCTTTAGTGCTTGTATGACACTGAATGCCATAAATGAGTCCAAACCGGAAGTAGCCTCGTCACAAAACATCAATGGAGGATTGGTAAGTAGCTAAGACCAGAGATACTACTTCATGTTTTAAACGAAAGAAGACAAACAAACAGTAATTCTATATTATAGTACAAAAATCACAAACGTGAAGATTAAATAAGGACTAATAAGGACTAAAAAATTGCGATCTGACTATTAAGTCTTGAAAAGAAAACAAAAGCAACACTAAAAAAGCAAAATCCGAAAATTAAGAATCATGACATTTTATTACCTCTGAGGCAAACGAGAGTCTCTTCATTTCTCCCCCAGAAATTCCCTTAAGCCTGCCTGGTAACCCAATAACTGTATCAGCACATTTAGTCAGACCAAGCTGTAATACATGATGGACAGGATTATTATTTTAGCTTTTAGCTTCTTGAAAAAACTTAGATTATATATCATTAATTAAGATACGATATATACGTAACACTTTAATTCAAAATTAGATTTAAGACAAAAAGGCATTTTTTATTATCTTATAACAGATGCTCAAAAAGTCATATATGTCATGAAAATTCAATATCTAAATTTGTGTCCTTCATTGATTTATGTACACATACTTCAAGGATTACATCTTCCACTTTCCTTAATCTTTCTTCTCTGGTTTTCTTTTTGTCCATACGAAGTAAAGCCTGATAAGTAAATAAGAACAAAAAGATGAATACATTCTTTTGCAATATACATCGTTGGTACATGTACATATACACTGTATAATATTTGATTTATTGTGATCTGTAAACGGGTCTGAACCATTTTTGTACTATTATCATTATATAAATCCTAATTTCGTCATAGTTTACTAGTAACATAAATATTTATATAGTGAAGAAACTGAAGCATTTTCATGGCATTCAAGACGGGAGGGGGTATATAATATATTATATGTTTTGGTAAGATAAAAAAATAAATACCTAGTATGTAATTAAAGAAATGTTTTGTATTTCAGATTATAACGTACCCTAAATGTGAGATGCTCCCTGACTGTTAGCGTCCCTATGAACAGATCGTCCTGTTGGACGTAAGCTGAGATGTTGGATATTTTGGTTTTGTCCACTATCACGCCATTGACCCTGACATCACCTTGTAAGATTAGGGTTCCTCTGTTTCTGTAGGTGAGTACATTTAGCAGAGTGGATTTTCCGGCTCCGCTGAAAATAACATCATTTATTTACTAGATTAGTTTAATTAATATGTGTACAAATGCGTCTCAAAGTCATTCTGATAAACAACTCTCATCAACTGTCGTCCACGTTGAGCTCCCCTCATTCTCTGTCTCTCTCTTTCTGATTCGGGCTCCCTAACATAGAAATATTCAACCGGTACAATTGGTTATAAGTTCGAAATTTATTGAGGTAAAGATGATGATACAGGAGAATCTCCCCCTCCAAATCGACCACATACAGTGTAGTACCTTATCTTGTTCAGCTTACCTTGCACCCATGACCGCCATCAGCTTCCCAGGTTTAATCATACCATTGACTGAAAAAGACACGGAAAATTTTATAATTCCATCCTTAATGATAATTTTTAATATTTTAAAAGAGAGAGAGGGGGAGAGGGTGGTTATTTTTAGAAAATATATGTAAATAAGATATAATTACTTTCTTTAAAAAACCACATGCATCATGTATTGCAACTAAATTCAGCTCTTACCATTTGTCAATATTTGTTTTGGGGTGGGCTGGGCCTTGCCCCGTTCGCAACATCCCCCTTTCTTTGGTAAGGCATAAACATTGACGTCCTTCCATGTCAAGGTCACGGGCTCCAACTCCTCATCTAGGGCGCTGTTCAGTCGGTTTCTGTTCGATCCTAGTTCTGGACAAACAAAATCAGAAAAAAATTTAAAAAACCGAAAGATTATGTTGTTTTGATAGTCTTGATTTTAAACATATGTTATATGTTTTTTAATACAACAATTATGGAAATTTAATGACAAATTTTTTTTTTGGCTGTTACGATAATTTATATACATTTACACTGAAAGTTTTGCTTAATATATACATACATACATACATACATATATTATAGTCAGTCTCCTGTACTACTATTTGAGTGTTGTCCTTCAACTGTGTTCCTTTGTCCTGTAGTTAAGGAATTCGCTTCAAGATGATCCATTAAGTTTTTGTAGCATCTGCCAATTATCAATATTTATTTGAATATCTACTTTATATGGTCCCATATAATTATGCGATAATTATAAAATAAATAAAGGAGATATACAGGTTCAATCTATATTTTCTTCATATCTGGAAAGCGAAGGTCGTTTCCTGAATGTTCAGTTTTTTTTTAAACTCTTATCTAATAAATAATTTGCCGTTCTTCTGAACTGAGGCTAACATGGTTACTTGTACAGTACAAACAATTATTTATGGTCTTCGTAATCTTTCCTTGTTTATGATTGACACCGCATACAAACAAACTATTTACAGCCGTATATTTGTACAGCTACTTTAGACACACTTTACCGTATTAGAGGGTACGGAATGTAGGTCAACTTGGGTACATATACACTACTGAGTTTATTAAATGTCAGCTAACTATACAAGTTAGATTTAATAGACACAACAGAAAAATCTGAATTTATGGTTTGTTTGCTTGTGCGTTTTATGAATTTTCTGCTTCTGTAACATTAATTTCCGTATTAAGAAACAAAGACGTCATTTGATTGTTTCTTTGAAACCAGAGAATTGCATTTTCTAATATTTTATACTCTAGGCAAGCGATTTCTTTATTTAAATAAACGTACAGTATTTATTCGAAGATTATTTTAATTCAGTGATTTGTTAATTTCATCAATTAATTGATATTTCACATATTTATCAATTCTACCGTTTATCGATTTATCGATAAAATAAATTTATCAATAAGTTTGATACGTTAAAGGTTGCAAAACGTCTATTCCACTGCATTAAAACATACTTCAATTAATTAGGAGGATTAATAACATTATACTGGCTACACATTAAGCAGGCAATCGAACATTGAGCATTGTTTGCCTTCTCTAGGTCTATGAGTTAGTAAAGCAATACTTTTTCATGCATTTCATAAATCAAAGTGTTTAGTTTGTGTTTAGTTACTAATACATTTCAGACATGCGGAGGCTATTAAGTAAAAGATTCAATTCATCAATCTAAAAAGCAAAACATGCGAAAAATAAGAAATCCTTTCACATCAATGAGAACTGAATATAAATTAAATTACACTAGATGCACATGTTCAATCAGTAAGACATACTATTTAAGCGTGCTCACAAAATAATACAACCCCTCATCCTCTTTTTAACTTAAAAAGAAATTGTCCCAGAAAGGTATAAAATAAAATGCAGGAGCATTTGTATATTATATGCATGTTATGAGCATGTAAAATCTCTTAAACATAATGAAAACTGCACATGACATAAAATCTAAACTGGGTCTGAAATATATGAATATGATAGATTCGGAAATCATGTACATCATAGATACGTGTATTTTTTCCAGTAAGAATTTGCAGAAAGGATACACGTAATCTATTGGTCAGGTCCTCGCGTATACACTGACATTGCTTTACATGTAGTTTTTTCTCTGCATATATGACCTTCACCCTGCCCATAGATATCAGCTGTAATATGTGTCACCTACTTATAACACATACATACCTCCATCAGTATGCAAGTTGGAATAAAAATCTAAAAATAGTTTTGAGAAAGTTGTACATAAAACAGATAACACGTATTACTAATCTTGGTATTAAGAAAAAGGAGATTGCCTTCGATGGAATACAGGACATAAAACAACACGCGAGGTTTGCATAACCGATCAACATGGCCAACTTTGTTTCCATGTGATAATTTTGAGGATAATAAATCGCGGATTAAATTGATATTTGGCTTTAATCTTTATATCTACCTTCAAAAGATCCGTGATGGTCCGTTAATCTATGCATGACTGAAATGTTTAGTGCAGCATAGGCCCAGTTCCAATTAATTGCCTTTCCGATGCCTGTCCGTGTTTACTATCATGTTCATTGACTTGTGTCCCCAAAAGCACCTTTTTAATTCTATTTTAAGACTCACGTATTTTCCAGTACCATGAATAGGTCACAACAATTTGCCCGGCGACGTTTGGTAGGTAGTATTGACAATGTTAAATGTTCAGAAAAAAATATACTATTTTAATTCTACGGTCTATATTTGTAAAAATGTTAACTTTGTATAAGTATATCAAATAAAATAGGACAAGAATCTCCAGGCATTACAATGATAAATCCCCCGGATTTTTACAGTGAATTTTTTTTATATATTAAATTATTCCTTTCTAAAAATTATTTTGATCTAAATTATTACTTTTTTCTTTCTTTTCCTTCAGTTAAAAAAAATTTAAAGTTTTTGACATATAAAAAAGATGATGCAATGTATTTATTCATTTTTCTTTTTTTTATTTTTAGATTTCTCTTTATGATATGTGTGAAGAAATTACAATGTATCAGCTAAAAGTTTGCTTAAGGTTTCGTCAAAGGCCAACATGTCTAAAAAATTATTTTTACAATAGCCCCAAAACTATGTGTGGTATAAAGTCAAGACGTTTACAGTTTATAAATATATCATTGATTAATAGATAGAAAGTATCACTTGATAACAAATATTTTAAAACTGATATTATTTGAGAAAAATTGTGTAAGAAAATGTGCATATTTAAAGAAAAATGCACCTGCTTAATTCTGTCCTTTTTGTGAAAACCAAAATTGTAGAAATAATATATGTTTATCACTGAAGGGCAAGTTGGGCGTGAATGGTCTCTGAAAGGCTTTTATTGAAAGCATGACATGTATAAAGACAAGACCCCTATAGAATCGGCCATTTGCAATGTACTTTCACTTTCAAGTCTTAACATTTGGACAAAATAAACAGGAAAAACAACTTTCCAGAGGCTATCCAAGTCCAACTTGCCCTTCATTGATAAACATATTTTGTTTCTGCAATGATGGTTTTCACTAAGAGCATGGAATTAACTAGGTGTATTTGTTTTGAAAATATATGCATTTTTAAGAAGAATTTTTCTCAATTAATACTATTCCAAGTATTTTTTTTTATAAAGTGATACTTTCTATCTGTTAATCAATGAAAAATTTATAAACTGTAAAAGTTTCAGCTTTATACCTCACATAGTTTTGGGGCTTTTGTAAAAATAAATTTTTAAACATGTTGACCTTTGACGAAACCTAAATAAAAAAAAAAAAGAATTGTTATATTTTTGTTTTGATGAAAGTTTAGCTGATCTATTGTAATTTCCTTATATACATGCATTTGCTACGTAGTAAACTGCATTTAATTATGAATTAAATTACATGTAATGTAATTGTATTTAAACTTGTCTTTTTGCTACCGAAATGGTAGTAACAATTTTGGACGTTTCCCATTTTCTTTTACACGTGTTGCGGTGGTTACAAATTCTTCTGGAAAAACAATTGATTTTGTTCAAATTTATATTTACTTCAGTTTTCTTAAGCACATACGCAAAGTACCTTACCTACTTATAATTTTCAAATATTCTTAATTTAATATTGAAGTGTCATCAGGAGTTCAAAAACAAAACAAAACAAAAAAAAATCAGCATGCATTACATGTACCTGGGGTTTTACAAAGATATCAATTGATGAAAACTCCTCGATGATTCAAAGCAAAATATATGAAAATTACTTAATATTATATTAGATGATTGTTTCAAATCGTAATTTGTTTTAGGAGAAGTGTTTTTCACCATGAATAGACATTAAAATATAGCATACAGTTCCTTTAGTATTACAATTCTTCAACTCCATGGTAAAAGACAAAAAATGTCAATTACGTTGCGTCAGACTTAAGCCCAGACTTATAACCAGTACAAAAACAAATGAGTGTTTTTTTTCAAAGGGTCATTATAAAGGTATTTATAGTCGAATCGAAGACGTTTACAGATAACGAAAAAGTGAAAAAATTTTATGCACACCACTCAAGCCTACAAGACACACATTAATTATGAATTAAAATCAATATTCCTACCTCCATTAGGAATGTCCTGGCCTACATGTATCTTGTTCATGCTGCAGATCTTTTTTCTCAAACTGAGAACATATCAAAATTGATCGATGAAATATATATCCAATTCCAGATCGATATTTCCATCGTTCTATTTAGTCAACCTTGGCACTAGTAATAATCTTTTACAAAGTACTTAAGTCTTTGTTTTCAATGCCCTTAATGTCCCTTTAAATTACAAGTCTTTTTCGTCAATGCCCTTAATTTACCTCCAAATCACCAGATCATTTGTCTAACAATTATAGCAAGAAACCTATTATTCATAAAAAAAACATCTGGATATGTTGAAAAAATATTTTTTTTTAGAATACATCATACTGTATTGTAAGCCCCCCCCCCTTGAAAAATCTTTTTCGCACTTCCTGACATTCATACTTTCTTGGTTTTCATATGAATAGCAAATTCAACTCGAGTTGTCAAGGTCATATCCAATAGATTTCCATTTACTTTCAACAAATAATGACTAATATGAAGAAATGTGGCTCATTAATTTTTTAAGATATAAATAAGATAAAATGACTCGACTCTTGATTCCTAAAATAAAACGTAAGAAGAAGGTATGGTTTCCATACAAATTTTGCCCTGTGATTTTCTAAAAAATGAAACTAGTGTGATAGTTGAAAACTCATGCTTTTTAAATAATTGAAATTCAATGCAGAAAAATCATACAAGTCATTTTTCTCACATGTGTTTTTAAGTGCTAATTATGACGTCATAAACATGTGCATTTTCCCGTATTTTCTTAAAATGTTGCAGAAGACACCAATT